ATGATGACGATGATGACAATGATAACAATAATAATAACAGTAGTGAAAGATGAAAGAAATAAAACATATCAAGACAACTAAACAACAAAAGAAAGAGAAAGACTAAAAGACTAAAAAAGGGGGATCTTTTTTAACTAATGAACAAAAGCATTTCAGTTCTTAACTGTATTTACCTTTATCGTGCTGTAACAATGAAATTTTCTGGAGAACAAAAATATTATTTCAAGAAAGTGATAAAAATACTAAAACTAGTAATTCATGGCAATAATAATAATCGCTGAATATTTATCATAGTTGATCACAATATTCACACAAGATGATGCACACTTGTTAAAATACATATGTATATTACCAGTAGAAAACTGTTTACGTAAACAAGTAATAATCAGGCCCCTCCTTTTATTGATCGATTACATCACTGGATACCAGAAAGGAGGGTCAATGAATTCACTTCAACCTTCGTAAAAGGTTTTGTATAAATTCCTTTAAAAAGAGATGAAATTATAAGAAAGAAATTGGTAAAAAAATAAATCATCGTCATGGAATAAAATCTTTATGATAAAGCCACGAATAAGACTCATGATGGAACACCTTAGCAATCATAAAGAAAGCGTTTATAGTTTTATTTATTATGAAGCCTTGAATTGTGTCTAGCAGTTAAATCCAAGAAGTGTTTTGGAGTAAGAGCATAAAATACACATGTGTTGACAGAGAATGATCATTTTTAAGCCCAAATATTGATAATCAGTAAATATAAGCTCTTCGAAATTCACATAAAGACAGCCGAAGATAAACTGATTTCTTTTGGTTTATCTTATTATTATGGCTTCATATTGTTATGATTAAAATTTTAGCAAGTGGCTGTCAGTTGATTTACAGTATATATCTAAGTTTAACACTGTCTATAATGGACATTAGCAAGTCCATAATCAAATGAATAATACGATTAGTTAGCTGGTTATGTAAGTATAAAATGAGAAAGTAAAATGTGGACAGGATAAACTAAAACGCCTGAAAAGCTTCAGACAATCCCATTGGTTATGTTTTTTTCGTACTTGAAAGAGAAATCATGAACCATGGGGTAGGTTAGGTGAGTTTTCATAAACAAACCTGAAAGTTATTTTGATATCAACGTGAGACCGAATATCGAACAGATGTTTTTATTCTTTGCTGGGCCATGAATTACGATGTTTAGAAATGTGATACGTCAAAGTCTTGATTAGATAAAACTAACACTATATTGTATTACTTACTATTTTCTGTCTCTACAAATTAGTGTTTATTTGCTACGGTCAAATCATCAGACAGCAAAACATTTTTTAGCTATCTTAGAATTGAATTCTAACTTTCTCATTTTTATTCACTTCGGATATTCGGTAATTTTACTAAACAGATAAGTTTCATTGACAAATTATTTGGTAAACTAGAAAAATTTATTTAAAAATTATTGCTTGAATCTGAATTTGAATTGTTTTCGCTAGAATTCGATAATCTTCTTATTACCTTTCAATAAAAACCTTTGAGTAAATATTTTGAAATAATTTAATTCATAAATAACGCACAAAATTAAAAAAATTACTTCTTTGGAGACCATCATTGCCAACAGTTCTTGTATTTTTTTATGCTTTAAATTCTTTTTGGGTACCCTATTTTTATATTAAGTGTTTTGATAAAGTAGACTATTTTGTCTATAGAAATAGTATACGGTACATTGAGGTGTCTCAATCATATTTAGTGGAATTTTCCCTGACAGTATGATAACACTAGTTATGGATTTTATCCATGTAATGAGAGTTTCAGTAAATTGTCAATTAATTTTATTTCTCGTCACCAAAAGACAGAATAATCCAAACCATTACAAATTGAATTAAATCTCATAACCGTTGCATAAGTGAGTATCAGTCTGGATACAATGGCTAATTGGATAATATGGTAGCGTTTGAAGTTTACGGCACTCGGTTCGAGACCCAGATGGAACATCAACTCTGGGATGCAAGTACATCCAGCTGACGAGTTCGAAATAGAACAAACCGAATGTCATGGATTTCCCAGTTTGATGAAATATGGTAAATACCACAAACAAATATTATGCTCTCCTAAATATTTATGTGTAGTTTTTCAGTGGCAAATTTGTGCTCTTAGGTTATAATTCTACTGTGTCAATAAACGTATGCTCATAAAAGATTTTTAACAATAAAATAGATCTTATTACTTTGAACTATTTAACGACTAATACAGTGAGTGAAGATGCTATTTCTTATCGGTTTACCAACAACATTATAAGCTGTCATCAATCTTGATTCAGTCTGAACTAGTCACTTAATCAGGATATCAACCATTGCACGAAAACTAAAGGGATTATATCATCATTTATTCCTGACGACATTTCCTTCTTTATCTTTATTATATCTAAAGAGGTAAATTTCTTGTTATGAACTTTTTTCAACCAGGCAATCAACGAAAATCGTAGATCATTAGACGAATCTTTCATCCTAGTTTGCTACACTTAGGTACTATCTACACATGATTTTGCTAAGTTGAGAGCGCAGAACCTATTGATCTCCAGGTAGTGTAGTCATACTTTATCAGTGGGTTTGTGATGCAACAGCCTATGTCTTATAATTCAGCCAGTTCAGAATATGCGATTCGCTAACACTGATGAAAAACTTCCTCAAATTCAACATAGCTGAATGTTATCAGTCACGATTTCCTACCGAAACTACAGAAGTTCGTCTCGAAGCCAGTAACAACTCATAAAGGTATATATTACGGTATTATTCTAACAAGAAATTTTATATAATTTTTTAAATTGTTTCCATTTAATTGTCTGAATCCAAAAGCATATCTCTTATTAGTGTATGATTTAAATTTTAACCAAATTTACAAAATCACCAACGGGAGGATAGATTTGTCATCAATACATAATTATCATTACAATTGTTGATAATTAAAATACAAATCATCAGAAAATTATTGATCATCATATTATAAACTATTTTAATTTGTTTCGTAACCATAGTATTTTGTATTTTTTTTTGAAACTATTGACCATATATATATATATATATATATATATATATATATATATATATATATGCGAGAAACATAAAGCACAAAATGTTCTTTTATCGTTTTCACTATGTCAAAAAGATAATGAGAGGAATAAAGCAATTTACTTCGTAAAATAATATGACAACATTGAGTAGAAGTTAAATTTCGCTTAGATGGTATAACTAATACAATCACCATAAATGATGCGGTTAAATTTAATCATATGAAAGAATAAATGACAAGCGAATAAATTATAGGTTGAGTTGTAATAATCTACAAAATGCAAAATGTTGCTTCATGATTGGGTTGCATCGGCACCTGAACTAGTGATAAAGAGTGACGCAGTTGTGCATGTTGATCGCTTCACGTTTCTCGTTGATCTCATGAGTGCTGATGGCGTGATGACTGACGAAATCCTAGCGCGGATACAGAAGACTCGACTGGCTTTTGTCAAATTGCATCACTTATGGCGTAGGCGAGATATCCGTCTGCTAACCAAAGGTCGACTCTACTGCGCAGTAGTTCGCTCCGATCTACTTTGTCAATCAGAGTCAGAGTAGGATATATTCATAGGTTGCTGGTTTTCGATCATAGGTGTCCCGAAGCATTGCTCGTGAATCTTGGGACGATCAAGTAAGCAATGCTACAGTTAGGAAGTAGGTCCTAGGTAAGAAGGGTAGATCAATAGATGAAGCAGTGAAACTTCATCAGCTGAGGTGGTTTTGGACATGTGTTGCGTGTGCCAGAAAACCGACTGCATCGACGAGCTGTGCCTTGCGATGTAGTAATAGGTTAGACGAAAGCTAGGGGTGGCTAAGCCCAGACATAGCAGAAATCTATGAAGTTACTGACAAGTGGGCAGAGTCATCTGGGTATATGTAGGCTACCTGGTTGCGGCACACGAGATGATAGTAATCGATGGCTAGAGACCCTGAATAATATGGCTCAAAACCGTTTGCAATGGCGCAGGTGTATTTACTCTTTGTGTTCTCTCACATTCTAACCTTCTAAATTCCTAATCATCTCCATCCTTCTCTTTCTAGATTTATCTCACTGAATTATACTTCTTGAATAGTATCGTCGAACCCTAATCTCTCCGACTACTCCTAACACTTCTACTACCTCTACTACTATGGAATTCGAAGTGACAATAGCATCTCTGTCCTAATGTGGTATGGCAACTTGAACTGATGTACGTACGTACGAAGTCCTATGTTGTTGTTAAATGAGTGATTATTTCCAAGACTACACTGAATAGTTTTAAAACTACTTCTGTTTTCTGAATTACTGTCTTTTCAGTCTAGTTCTTTGAGAATTCTCACTTGAATAAGTTTACCCCAATTTAATCCACTACTCAATCTTACGAATAAATATTGAGTTATCTACATTAATGATTAGCGCAAATAAGGTGAAATATTTT